GAGTGCTTTTGCACTGCGCTTGCTTGACACGTGGTTTTCTTTTCTTGTTCTTTTATTTATTTATTTATTTTTGGAGAGGTTTTCGCTATAGGGCGCGTGCACTCGCCAGAAAGACAGAGAGAGATAGAGAGACAGAAAGTGAGAAATCACCCCCCCGGGGGGATGGTCACGCCACAATCCCTTCTCCATTCTCCTCTCAGGATCTTGGGCACGCATGCACATGTGCCTGGTGTGAGTTTTAAGCCACCGGGTCTGGGACGCGAACCGCGGTCGACTACGTGGGAGTCCAGCAACATAGCCATTATGGTAACTGCTGGTTCCCTTGCCACGTGGTTTTCAATTTTTGCATTTTAATATTAAAATCTATAGTTATTTTCCTTTTTTCATATTTTATTTTTTCTTCTTTCCTTTTCTTTAATTCTTTTCTTTTTTTTTTATCTTTATTCATTTGCTTCTCAGCCTCTGCTCACTAAGTGTCTAGACAGGTCCAAGTGAACAGAATCTATATATCTGAATAGTTAGGGTCAGAATATTCTTCTATTCCCACTGATTCTAAAGCACAAAGAGTGAGAACAGAATGGAAGAGAGATTGCAGATCACCTCCTCCTGCACGTTTCTGAACACTCAGAGTGAACTTCAAGAATTAGGAAAAACACACCATCCATGTGATGACTAGAAATCACCGCAGGGTCACAAGAAACATGGAAAAGCAAGAAAATAACTCTCCTCCAAGGGAAAATAAGTCCTCTTCATCCTCAGACAGTATTATGAAATTCATGGAAATGTTTGATAAAGAATTTAGAATTTTCATGGTGACAAAGCTCACAGAGATCGAAGAGAAGAGAGACAACAAACTGTCAAAGAGGCATGGAAAAGAAGCTGACGAGCTTCAGGAGGTGAGGAACTTCTTGCAAGATCTAAAAGAGGAATTATACACTTTAGAAAAGAATCAAATGGACCTGTTAGAGATGAAAACTATAACATAGGAAGTCAAAACCTCCTTTGAAAGTATTCAAGGCAGACTAGATCATACTGAAAGTCAACTCTTCTTGTAGAAGATAGAATTACTGACCTAGAAAAATCCATCACGAAGACTGAGAAAATTGTCCAAAAACATGAGAATACTATACGAGAAATACTACATACCATCAAACATCTAAACATGGATAATTGGTATCCCAGAAGGAGAAGAGACTCATAAGGGCATTGATAATCTATTCCATGAAATCCTGCAAGAAAACTTTCCAAACCTAGAGAAGCATTCAAAGATCCAGTCCCAAGAAATACAAAGGGCCCCAAATAGAATCAACCCAAGAAGATCTTCTCCAAGACACATTATAGCCAGACTGAGCAAAACCACAGACAAAGACAAGATACTAAGATTGGCAAGAGAGAAACGGCAAGATACCTACAAAGGGTATCCCATCAGACTAACAGCAGACCTCTCATTGAAAACAATGCGAGTGAGGAAAGAATGGGAAAATGTATTCAAAGCGTTAAGGGAAAAGCAATTGCAACCATGGATACTATACCTGGCAAGATTATCCTTCATATGGGAAGAAAAGACAAACAAAATCTGAAAGAATGTACCAACACCAGACCAGATCTCCAAGAAATTCTGCAGAGAGTGCTATACCCGGAAAATTAAATACAGTCACACAGAAATAAGACTTCAAAAACTAAGAAAATGGTCAACTTAATCGAGGGGACAAGTCTTAAGTTGAATATTATATCCCAGAATTAAATTGGGAAAATTGAATCACAACAAAAGATAAAGTACATGAGACGGAACTGGTGAAATAGAATTTTATGACTTTTACCAAAACATTGTTGATTTTTTTTCTAGGCTTTGTTTTCCGATTTTAAGGATTTTTGTCTTGCCTTGAGCTGCTGTTAGGTTTATGTACCTACTATTTAAACAGAATCCCAACCTGTTTCCTGGCTTTAAGTTTTAAGCATATTTCTTTAGCATTTCTTTGATTTATTAAAGTTAAATCTGCTTTTCTTGAAATTAAAAAATATAGTTAAAAATACATAATTAAGGACCATAGTAAACTATTTAGCATCAGGTAGGTGCTACCTTATAGTGTATTCATTCTACTCAGAGTTTTATGCCTTCAGTCAGACATGTATTCATAGATATGTATATTTAGCATCAGGTAGGTGCTACCTTATAGTGTATTCATTCTACTCAGAGTTTTATGCCTTCAGTCAGACATGTATTCATAGATATGTATATATCAGCAGAGCTTGCTATTGAAAGTAGTTAGATTATTTAAGAAATTTTGTGAATCAATAAAATGTGAGGGGGAAAGGAATGGAAAACAACTGTGGACACCTGAGAAAGTGTGGGAGGAGCATGGGAAATGGCAGAGGGTGAGAAATAGGGGAAGCGTGTGTATATGAAACTAGAAATGGAAAATTATTAACAATAGCATGTATGATTAATTAAAAGAGAAATTACATTTTTATGTTGTAACAATGCTCAGTGAATAAATGTAAATTAATTAATTAAAAAAAGAAATAAAAAATTTAAAAATTCTGTATCTAGTAAATAAGTTGTCAAAAAACTCTAAAACAAATTCTGTATCTAGTAAAATTCTCCTTCAGAAATTAAGGAAAAGTTAAAATGAAAGCTGAAGAAATTCATTGTTACTAGACCTATACTGCAAGAAATCCTAAAGAGTGTTCTTTAGGATAAAATGAAGGAACTTCATACAGTAAGTCAAAGTCATATGATCAAATAAAGAATACCACTATAAAAATAATTACATATGAAAATGTATAGGTCCACAGTACTGTATTTTGGGTTTATTACTTTTTCACTTGTATCTATATGCTTTAAATGACGAGTGCAAAAAAAAGCAATAATTACACAGCTATCTTAATGGGCATACAATGTATAAAGATGTAATTTGTGACAATAACTATTCAGTAGCAGAGGTTTTTAGTTTTTTGTAGATGGTTTTGCCTTAGGGCACATGTGCTTACTGGGGAGAGAGAGAGAGAGAGAAAGAGTGAAAGGGAACTGAAAAAATCACCCCTGAGAAGGATGGCCACACTGCAATCCCTTCTCTTCCATTCTCCTCTCAGGATCTTGAGCACGGACATGCGGTGTTTCAAGTCACCAGGTCTGGGACCCGAATCCTGGTCAGCCATGTTGGAGTCCAGCAATATAACCACTATGTCATCTGCTGGCCCTGAAGCAGGGGTTTTGTATACTATTGAAGCTAAGCTGGTTTTGATTCAAACTAAACTTTTATAAATCTAATATGTTAGTTCTATTTGCTCGGCAGTCATTACCGAAAAAAAAAAAACAAAAACAAAAATAAAAACAATAAAGAAATGAGAAGGGAAGCAAAATGAGACACTATAAAACTCAAATACAAAAGAAAGCAATAATGAAGAGAAACAACAAAAATAAGATACAGAAAACAAATAGCCAAGTAGCAAAATGGAATATTTCCTTAACAGTAATTACTTTAAATGTAAAGGGATTAAACTCTAGTTAAAGGCAGAAAATGTAAGAGTGGATTTTTTTAAAGTCCAAAAATGTGTTCTTTTCCTTTTTTAAATTATTTTTGTTTATTATCATCATTATTCTTACTATTCAACATTTTACTAGACGTTCTAGCCAGACAAATTAAACAAGAAAAAAATATCCTTCATATTATAATGGAAGAAGTAAAACTGTATTTGCAGAAGTATGTTCTCATATAGAGAATATCCTACAGAATCCACAGACACAAAAGAACTCTTAAAGTCATAAATAACTTCAAGAAAGTTAAAGGTACAAAATTAATACACAAATGTACATTCTAGGAATGAGTATAAAGAAAACTAAGAGAACAATTTCCTTTACAATCATATCAAAAAGAATAAAATATTGAGAAATAAAGTTAACCAAAAAGGTCTGAGACTTATACAGTGAAAACCATAAATCATTGTTGAAAAAAAAAATCTAAAAGAATGTAAAGACATCCCATATCCATAGGTTGAAAAATTTAATATTGTTAAGATGGAATACTCCCAAAGCAATCTCCAGATTCTATGAAATCCCTATTAAAATTCCAATAATCTCTTTTTTTCCAAAAATTAAAAAAACGCTAATTCTAAAATTAATATGAAATGTCCAGGGACCCAAATAGTCAAAACAATCTTGAAAAAGTAAAACGAGGAGGACTCACTTACCTATTTTGAAACTACTACAAAGTCACAGTGCTCAAGATAGTGTGGTACTACCATAACGATACAGACATAGATCAGCAAACTAGATAGGATAACCTGGAAATAAATCCATATGTCTAGGGTCAACTGATTTAAATAAAAGAAAAATAAATAAATAAATAAATAAATAAATAAATAAATAAATAAATAAATAAAACTTCATCAGAATTTAAAACTGTTGTGCATCGAAAGGCATTTTTAGGAAAGTGAAAGATAATCCACAAAATGAGAGAAATTTTGCAAATTATATGCTAAGAGCTAGTCTAGTATTCAGAATATTTTTTTTTAAAGAACTCATCATTCAGGAACAGCAGGTGGCATAATGGTTATGTTGCAGGACTCCGTAGACAACAGTTCAAGTCCCAGACCTGGTGGCTTAAAATTCATGCCAGGGCCATATGCGTGTGTGCCCAGAATCCCAAGAGGTGACTGGAGGAGAAGGGATTACAGCATGGCCAACCCCCCCGGGGTGATTTCTCCCTTTATGTCTCTCAGTCTGTCTCTCTGGTGAGCACACATGACCTATAGCAAAAGTCTCTCGAAAAAAAAAATCTATCTCCAAATATATGTCAAGAAAGAAGAGTGTAGTGCTTCAGCTTCATTTTAGCTAAGTAATACAGTCAAGCAAAAGTTTGTTTTCAAGTGACCCATTGAGTTGTGTAAGCATTTTTGTTTATTTCAAATAAAATATATTTGTATTATTTGTCAAAAAAAAAACCCTCATGATTCTATAACAAAAAGGTAACCTATTTTTTAAAATGAGTAGAAGACTTGAATAGACATTTCTCCAGAAAATATAGACAAATGATCAACACACACATGCAAACACTGAGGAAGAAGCTATAGGAGAAGGAATAGGATATGACCCTTTGAGCTAGCTATAAGCAGTTCTAGGTTGGGGCAGCACCCATACATTCAAGTGCCAGGGAATGGCAGTGATGGGACTGAGCATGGTCTTGGGCTCTCTCTTGCCAAATGTCTACCATCATCACAGCTTAGTAGGCCCTAAGGCCCCCTAACTCCTGAACCCCAAACCTCAGCGCAGGTCCCACTCCAAGAGCCTTTCATTGTGACTTACTTTCCCCTGAGCATGTGAGCCCAGCATCCTGGCTGTGTTCGCACTGGTGCCCAGGCTCCCTTGGACAGTAGAACAGCAGAGACTCGTTGCCCATACAGCGGAATGCTTCAGTCCACATGATCCCAGAGCCCTGGCTGAAGTGGGCAGCCCCATGCATGGACACAGCCATACCACAACGAAGCTCCCGGCATACCACATGGGCAGTAGGCAAGTCCAGGTCAGAGTCACAGGTGGTGCCCCAGGTCAGGCCCCGCCTCACCTCCAGGCGTCCAGTGCAAGGGTGGGCACCACCCACCAGCCGGGCCTCTATGTGACCTAGGGGAAAAGGCTGGACTGGAGCCACCTTAGGGTAGGACAGGCTCCATGCAAGTCTCTGGGTGAAATTATCTAATCACTGCTCTATGATTGCACAGACATGGACAATATGGAAGACCCAGGACCATCTGGGGTAGCCTAGTCCCTGGGGCCCAGCTTTCTGTAAGAGAAGTCCTGGAATCTGTAGGCTGAGGACCTTCACATCTCCCCAGATTTCTCTAGTTCTGATCTCTTCACAAATTCTGACAGCAAATGTTCATCTCAGGTTACCTCCCCTCTGGACACACAAGAATCTCCATACCTCAAGGGTCTGGAGTCCCCACATCTTTGTTACCTGTCCACCTCCACACTTGGAACTTGACCCTAGCCAGCCACTTTAATCACCTTGTGATTTTTTTTTTCACTTTTTGTTACGGTTTCTTATTTGCACTCAATCATCATGCATCACTATTGTACAGGATCTGTTTTCAAGGTATGCATATGGTACATGACAATCAAATCAAAGATATTACCATATGCATCATTTTCAATAGCAAACTTTGCATTCTTGTGTCTGTTAAATGTTTCTTTTCTGAGTATCTCCCACCCACCCTAACCCAGTGCCTAGGCACCCCCTGGGCCAATCCAGTCAGAACCCTATGGGAGGAGCCAGAATAGGTGCTGGACATTTTCCCAGATGACCTCAGAGCCCCCAATGATGAGAATCAGATTCATGGAGCTTCTCAGCTCCTCTCCCTGTCTGAGGTGGGGGTACAATCTGGGCACAGTAGAGAGGATGCTTTTCTGTCATGGTGGGTAAGCCAGCTCCATGGCCCCAGAGGACATCTCTCCTCCCTTTCCTCCAAGCAGGGGCCAGCCTTTTCAGTCCTTGGCCATAGGTGTGAGGAGACATATTTCATCTCAAAGACCCTTGACTGGAGACATCCCTACCTGTGCACACCACTTCAGTGTCTGTTGGGAGATCACATTGGTCTACCAAGTTCAGGTTGAATCTGCAGTTGAAGATGCTGGACTCTGTTCCCTGGCAGGTCACCACTTTTGACTCCAGCTTGCCCAAGTTCTTTGTGAGTTGTGATCTGGATCCTTGGAGTGCTAGGCCACATCCTAGCCTTCTGCAGAGGACACTAGCCTCCTCCTGGTGGAAGCCACACCTTATCACAGTGTCTCTTGTCATCTGGATCACAGGGGTCCCTGCGCAGGGACTGCTTCCACCACTTAACTTCATTGATGCCAGCTTCCCACCTGCACACACAAGAAACTGCTCTGCTCCCACTGGAGCCCCACTGGGGTCTGGTCCTCCCATTTCACAAACATAAACTGAAGTAGTGGGCTTTGAAGAGTGGCAGGGGTCCACAGCAGAAGTTCTTCCTGTGGGACCAGGACCTGAAGTGGCAAGTAACTGCATCCTACCCTCCTTAAATCACCTTTCTCCCTGCTCCCCTGTGCCCAAGAGGCCTCCAGTATTGGTGAGAATGAGCTCCATCCCTCTGGTTTCTGGATTTCTACCCACAAAAAGGGCCTTCCAAGAGTAGCAGGCAGGTAGGCAGATCAGATCTGCCCCTTTCTGAGGACACCTGCAAGGCTGTATTTTCTGAGCCCTCTGGTCACTCCCTGCCCTGTGATAGCCTCTGCTCAGGACCAAGTTGTTTTGGTTTCAGAGCCCACGCCTTGGGCCTCCAATGCCTGGGGACCAACCATGTGTCCATTCTCCTCACCTGTGTTCATACCCCCTGTCCATCTCTCCTCAAATACACCACTTTGAGCCTCTGCATTCCACCAACTATCTAATAAAAGGGAAATGACCTGTTCTTATCCAGATCCTGAAGAGAATCTGGGAATGCTGAGCTCTGGAGGCTGACCCAGGAGCACAAAGCCTCCAGAGCCTTCCTGAAGGACAATTCTGGGGACTCTGCAATCTCCAGGCCTGAGATAGGAGCCCTAAGAACTCTGCCTGAGCCCAGAGTGGCCTCTGTTCACTCTGGCCAGTCAGGGGAGAAAAGCAGGAACATTTCACTGCAGAAGTTCCTGTAGACACCTCTGGGACAGTTAATTGATGGTTTCAATGAATCCAGAAAGACTGGACACAGACCAGTCTCTGCCAGGGCTGGCTTGGGTGTACAACATGTTCCTCAATTGCATCATTCTGGCCTTCGGAGGGGACAAATGCAGGTCTCATAGCAACGCCATGAGGACCTGAGGGTCACCAGCTCTGTAGTCATAGGCACCCTGAGAGAAGGGTTCTGTCTCCCATCATGGGGTCCTGTGGAACTGCCCTTCCTAACAAGGAGGAAGGCCATGAGTGGAGAAAGGGCCACAGGCAGAAGCTGCTACCTACCTGAGCAGTGCACCGCACTGACGCACTCACACGCACAGTCTTGCAGTGGCCCCCACATTCCCAGGGAGCACTCCCAGAGTGAATCCTCCGTGCCCTGGCATTGCACACCCTGCAGCAAGGACTGCTGGGTCTCATGGATCCATATCACATACGTGGGGGTAACAAGGGCTTGGCCACAGCCCAGCTGTCTGCAGATCACTGATGCCGCCTCCAGGCCCAACTGGTCCCCACACACCAGGCCCTGCTGCCCGAGGTACTGCACCTGCAGGAGCCCCTCACAGCGATTTCCACCCCTCAACAGGGTCAGGGACTCTGCAGTGGAGGCTTTGGGGACAAAAACACAGGAGGGGTATTATAGCAAAGGTACATTTGAGAACATTTTGCTCCAAATTTTCAATAATTAAGAACCTCATTTTTACCTTCCATCCCAATTTGTACTCTTTTTATAAAAATTTATTTATTTAGGGACCAGCAGTTGGCGTAATGGCTATGTAGCTGGACTCCCATGTAGTCGACTGCAGTTCGAGTCCCGGACCCAGTGGCTTAAACTCACACCAGGCACGTGTGCATGCATGCCCAAGATCCCAAGAGGAGAATGAAGGAGAAGGGATTGCGGCATGGCCATCACCCCAGGGGATGATTTCTCGCTTTCTGTCTCTCTGTCTCTCTCTGTCTTTCAGGCAAGCACATGCACCCTGTAAGCAAAAAACTCTCAAAAAATTATTTATTTATATTTTATTTTATACATTTAATCACTATATGTCACTTTGCTTATAAGTTTAATTTACCCCAACATGAAAATTCTTCACAACAGTTCAATTGAGGATACAAAACTCATTGTTAACAAATAATAATCCATTTCTGTGTCCCATAAATGTCTTGTCTCTCTATTTTCTGCTTAATTTTTCTTCATTTTGATTTCTCATTTTTCTCACACTCTATTTTGATGGTGTCAATGACATTAACAAAATAAAATGTTAATAAAAATGTCTTAAGGACCATTTTTTAGACTATTTATTTCTTTCTTCTATGAACAAGATAAAGAGCAAGCGAGACAACATCCCCAACAAAGTCTGAGTGTTGTGATCCTCCCCTAGCCTCACACAACTCAGTCATGTTTGGCATACTCAAGAAGGTCTCCAGACATAAACCTTGTATCTTCTCATGTGGGTCGGCCTTGCAGAGCATCGCATTTTGCCACTGCACCACAATCCAGTCCCCAAGGTTCATTTTATTTTAAAAGCTCTACAGAATTAAGTGTCTAGCCTTTTATGCCCACATGATGGCTCAGGGAAAGGAAGAAGCCTCTGGTCACTCTGCTAATAATAAGCTGTGCAGAGGGCACCCTAGACATTTGGGGTCTCTATCTGAGCCTCCCAAGACTCAGATAGTGAAATAATTAGAACCAGTGTTATGTTATCCTAGCTCAACCCCCATGGAATGTCCTGCATGCCAGTGGCTCTGACCACCAGGACTCTATGCACACACTCACCAGGAGGGAGGATCCAGCAGACCAGAAACAGCAGCCACAGCCCTAGAGGGGACAATGCCATGCCTGGTTGCATCTGCTGCAACACCCCAGGCTGATGATCTCAGGACAGGCATGTGTGCTCTGCCCCTTTGCGGAAGCTGGACTCTGACTCTGTGGTAAAGCCTGGCTGAGAAGGAAGCCAGTGAGCACTCTCGCCACCGCCCCCCCCTATCAGAGCCATCATCTGTCACCCTGAGCAGGTGCTCAGCCATAGTGCCTGAACTGACAGTGCCAGAACTGTGTGATGCTGATCAGGAGCCTACATTTGGGGAAGAGAGAGAGTCTCACCAAATCCCTTGCCTAACCTGCTCAGAGATCCTCTGTCCTCACAACTTCAGGTCCCCATGCCTAGGCCAACGATTATTTTAAAAATTGTAAAAACACTGCTAGTATAAGTTGGAGTGATATAAAAATGTGAGAAGCAGTCCATCACTGATAAACAGGGCAAGGCCAGGACAAGGGGCAGAGACCTAAAGAGGACTGGGTCCTGAGGTGAGTGAACACCTTCTGCTGTGTTAATACCTCATTCTGCTCCTCGCCTGTCTTCCAGGTCCCCTGTCACATGCTTATACCCCAACCCATAGCTTGTCAGCTTGCTTTTTTATGTGAGGCCTAGGCATGCGCCAACTCATACCCTTCTCTGGTTACCTCCAACCCCAAAGATGCCCTCCACAAGGAAAGTAACACTCAGAGAGATCTTGAGGCCCCAGTGGGCCAGCTTTGGTGATGGCTCCAGCAGGCTGCCACGCACTGAGGTAAATGTGAAGGGTTAGGTCAGAGCCTGGCATCACTGAACAGAACCTAGAGATAAGGGACTCATGGGATGTTTAACCCTGGTTTTTTACCAGGCACTAAGAACAGAGATGGATGACTGGGAGTCAGAAAAGATCTATACAATGGTATGATCCTGTGGGGGGTGGGCCTGGATGGCTGGGTGTGGTCAGGGATGAATATGCTCAGGAAGAGCTTGCAGGAGTGATCAGAGCCCAAAAGAGGTAAGAGATAACTGTCACCTCACAGCCCCAGATGAACCTGAACAAGCACCGTATGGGCAGAAGAAAGGAGGGTTCCCAGGAGTTGGTTCTACAAGGAGCTATCTTGAGACTTAGAACTACCAGGCTTGGAGTGGAGGAAGCAAGGAAAAAGAATGATTTAGAAGGCTGAGAGATACTTAAATTCTCCTCAAAGACATCTTCCAAGAGTGGCTGCATGGAATTACCAGGTTCCAGGAGCAGTAAACCCACCTCACACCTCAGTAGAAAGAAGTGGGCAACAGGCTGTGAGTGAGCATGATGTTGCACTGAAAACACATGAAGCCTATGTCAGACCGAGGACAAGTGATCAAGGTGAGGAATAAAAGTGGGGCCCAGAAAGAACCTGGGCTGTGTTAGTATCTGATAAATCTAAGACAAATAAATTATGAATACATGTCTTCAAAGGGAGTTTAATAACATGTGTTTTAAGAATGAGAACAATGAAGACCCCCAGACTCTCTGGTTTATCCCACTCTCTTGACACGTTGATGTCTCCCACAGGCAGCTCAGTCATCACGTGCCAGGCAAGGAGTCGCCACGGTCTTCCATTTCAGCCTGAGCTATAGGGCCCAGGCTCCAAGTAGCCCCACCTATATTTAAGGAGAGAGACACACACTGGGGTCCTCAGTGATTTCTCGGAATGTCAGGTGGTCTTGCCCTTCATTTCAACCAAAGTCGCAAAGGACAAGGATTGGACAAAGTAGGTCAGGTGAGAGTGAGACTGCTTCTGACCTGGAGTCCTCCCCCCAGTCCTACCTACTCAGGGCATATTCTACAACTGGCCAGGACACAGTGCTGGAAGGACAGTGTGCACAGCTATGCATTAAACTCATTAAAATCTTCAAACCTTCCTAAGAGAAAACAAGTTTCAGGAGCAGCTTGGAAGGATAAGCCTCTACTCTCTAGAACTGAGGTGGGAATAAGGGTCATTGATACACCGAGAAGTGGCTCTCAAGTACTTTAAATGTAGGCAGTGGTCACAGCAGAGCCCTCAGCATAGCAATACAGCAGGAAAAGCATGACAGAGGCCAAGGAACGGAGATGCACACCTGTGGGACTCGACAGCACCCCATCCTCCTCCTCCTCCTCCTCCTCCTCCTCCTCCTCCCTGGAGCAGTCCTCGGGTTATCCCACGTCGTCATATTCCTCCTCCAGCACTGGGTCCCCAGGCAACGCAGCCCTCGTGTCTTTCACTCCCATAAAGACAGCTCCAATGTCTTCATAGACGCCCTCTGATGGCGTCTCCGACAGTACAGAACCTGGAAAGGCAACACCAGAACCCTCTAGAGGAAATATGCTTACAGTCTAAGCCCACTGAAACTGGTCCCCTGTGGTCCCTCATGCACACCAGGACTCCAGCTTCTGAGATGACAGCTCACCACCAAACACATTGACCTGATACCACTAGGGGTTACATATTTTCTTGGCAACCACCCCAAGTCCTGGGTTCAAGCTTGTAGGTAGCAGTTACCAAATGCAACCTGAAAAGCTACTGAATATACATATGTAAGGAAACCACCTAAATCCCTGTTCTCACATGAAGAAGCCCTGGAGAGTAAATTGTATTCATTCAGCCCACTCCAAAGGATAGCAAAACTCAAAATCAGGGTCCCTGGGTCCCCAACTGCCTGGAGGTGCAAGAAGAGGCACTGACAAGTCACCATGAGGAAAACCACCCAGCAAGCAGGGCAGTGGCCAGGACAGAGAGGACCTGCAATGGCTGGAGTCTCACAGAGCTTGCCCTCTCTTCCCACCACCCTCAGCAGGCTACCCATCTCAGGGCCCTGTGCTAACCGTGCCCAGTCACGCCCACCTACCCATGCAGGCTGCTTTGCGGTGGCACCACTGAGCCCCCAGGAACAGGGAGATGATGCACAGAAGGGAGCCAAGGATGAGGCAGGCAGTCTCTGGCAGGGTCCAGGCCTTGTGGACTGGTGGAGGGACCAGGCTGGGTCCTGTGGGGCACAGTGAGAGGCGGGGCCTCCTGTGTACCTGCACTGCCAGGGCATTGTGACTCTGGGACTGCATAACCTCAGTCTCTCAGGGAGAGTATAGACACCAGAGTAGAGGTGGGTCTTTGAGGTGCCTGGACATGCTGTCTTCCCCAAGAGAGAGAGTACAAGGTCATAGAGCTGAGAGGCTCAGGTGGAGGGCTCAGATGGAAGAATGCAGGGGTGTGGGTTCCAGGAGGAGTACAGAGACATGGCACAGATGGGGGTCCAATGGACACCTCTTGTCACCCTGACTGCCCACTGCCCTCAGCTCTGCTTGGGCACTGAGTCACAGGACCTAAGAGGCCATGGAATATCAGGACCAAATACCCCAGTTACCAAGAGAAAGAAGTGGCTGAGTGAAGTCTGGGGCATCTGTCCCCCATGGATTCTCCAACTACACAGACAAAGGGGAGGAGAGCAGCGTTCACCAGTGAAGGGGTTGCCATCACCATGGATTAGATCAGCCTGACCTTGTCCTGGCCAATCTAAGGACAGTCTGGCCTTGACTAATGTATCACAGGCCTTCCACAATGCCTTGTCATTGCTGAGTTCCAGTGTTGGCTCCTCTAGGCCACAGACAGACATGGGGAGGGGGGACTCAAAAAAGAGCCACCTAGCCAATGGAGGTGGCTGTGCCATGGTCTCTTGGTCACCTGCAGAAGAAATGACAAGCTCCAAGTTAAAGGACAAAAAGGCATTGACAGTCCTGAGTAACAGGGGCATTCATCTACTCCCTGGCAGCAATGCTGGAGGCAGTCACATTGGACCTGTGACCAGTGCAGACTCAGGGCTAGGTGCTATGAATCTGGCTGAATAGAAGGGGAGGGAAAACATCCAAAAGAGAGTACTTGGACCCATTCCTGCACCAACACCCTGTGTGCCATCTACTCACCATTAGTGACAGAAGGAAGACACATGCTTGCCCACACACCAGGCCCTCCTCTGCTGAATTTTAGGCCCCACAATCCCACCAGTCATCCTGCCCACTCACCTGAGCAGCGCACACCAGCATCTTCCTTGTGTGTGCAGTCTCCACGTCCCCAGGGCTGGGCTGGACAGTCCCACAGGGTCTCCTCACTGCCCCGGCACCCCACCTCGTCCAGCCATATGGGCCCAGAGCCAGGGCTGAAGGCTGCACTTCCTAGGGCGTTTTCTGCCTGACCACAGCCCAGCTGACGGCACACAACCTCCGCATCTGCCAGATCCCAGGAATCATCACACACAGTGCCCCAGGAGCCTGTGTGCCAGAGCTCCACGCGCCCAGAGCAATGGTCCTCGCCCCCGCGTAGGCGCAATGCACCCTCCTCTGAAAAAGAAGTCTTTGGTCACTGTGGGAGCTGGTCCAGGATGGGGAGAGGACAGAAAGGGGACCATACTTCAACATTCAATATCTTTTCTATGTAGAAGTGGGGAGATTAATGTCTCTGTACTGACTGACATGCATGGCATTCCCTTTTGAAAAAAACAATGTAATACACTGTAAAGTTATATGTAATCCAATGTAATATAAAGAAGATTATGATGATAATAAAAAATAAAATAAAATAAAATAAAAAAGAAAGGGGATCATAGGGCTACCTGGGCAGCTGTTTGTAGATGAGCAATTTATGGTTTGTTCAAGGTCCTGAGGAACATCTGTCTTTTCTGTGAAATAGATTAAGACAGAACTCAGTATTTGCAAGCACTTAAATGCTTAAAGACATTGAATTTTTCTTTTTCTTTCTTTCTTCTAATATTATTCTGTTTTATACTTTTTCATTTACATTTTATCATTGTACCTCTAAATGGTATACAATGTGGCTTATCAGAACATCAAAGTGGAGTATAGGAAACAAATCAAGGATATTATTTTATATATCATTTTCACCAAAAAACTTAAATTCTCATATTTATTAAACTGTGTTTTCCTGAACCCATCTCACTCAATATTACTTGCTGAAAGAACACCATCCTCTACATTCACTTTAAGAATATCTAATTAGACTGAGAGATTCCACAAACTGTTCCAGAGACTTCTCCATGGGATCATGTCCCTGTGAAATGTCCTCAGGAGATGCACAGTGAGCACGGTGGTCCTATTCCCCCACAGGTGAAGAACAGGGATCTCAAAAGACTCCAGATGACCCACTCACAGCGCAGAGAGCAGGGCAGCGACCCTGACCCTTTACTGGATCACAACAACCCAGGGAATAAGAAGTGAAGATGGGCATCGCATCTCAGGATAAGGCCACAAGAAGATGCAGTGCCCAGCCCCTCACAGGTACAAATCCTCCCCGCCACACTAACACACACAGACTCCTACCCCACCCCACACTCACCTGCACATATGACCCAGGCTTCCTCCTGGCTGGAGCAAGAATGCTGGTTCCAGGGGGCTGAGGGGCACTGCCAAAGAGTCCTGTCATGCCTGGCTCTGCACTGAATGGAGGCCACCCACAGAGCCCCAGGGAGAGGCCAGCTCCCCACCCTGGCCTGCAGCTGCCCTTGGGGCCCACAGCCCAGCTGCTCACACAGGACTCCCAGGGAGGCAGCACTCAGGCTCTGGCAGACACCACCCCAGGTCCCATTGTAGAAAACTTCCAGCCTCCCTGCACATGGCTGGCTGTAGTTCTGCAGCCTCAGATCCGTGAACTCTGAGGACAGAGAGGCCAGGCAGTAAGGCCCAGCTTTGTC